TGCGAGACAGGGAGTTGTTTGTGCCGTCCACATTTGAGGAATTGCATGATGGAGACACCATGACATGGAGCAGTCCGGCGAACGGCCAGAAGGCAAGGTGTGACTATATCCTGGTTCCACTGACTTGGGCAAAGGGAAGATTGCAGACATATCCCCTTGTCACCTTGGATTCCGGAGCAGCTGGAGAAGACCATGTGCCTCTTGGAGGAGATTTCCAAGTGTATTTACTGGTGCACCGCCGAAAACCGGCAAAAGGGTTTGACCGCATGGCTTTGCAGAAGGACCTCAATGCGGGCATGGCACATCACTTCGCCGAGCCGCCAATTATCGATTGGCAGGTAGATGTTGATGTACACGCGGCCAAATTGACAAATTGGATTTCTGAACAATTATGTCAATACTACCCGAAACAGGGTGTCCAGAGAAAGAAGAGTTACATCTCTGATGCAACATGGGAGATCCGGATGCAGAGAATCCAGACAAAAAAGGATCAACTGGCCCTCAAACAACAGCTCGCTGACTACACCTTGTCTGTGGCGTGGCAGACATGGAGAATGCGGACTGGGCACCAGGATTCTCTTCGAAGGCCAAGCTTCTGGGCATCCTTTCTGCGCTTTCAGGCATACCGAAAGCAATGTGCAGAGCTCTCGAGAGAGCTGTCCAAGGCACTCAAAAAGGATAGAGTAAGTATGCTGGAAGAGGTCGCTGGCCGCCAACATGAGATGACACAACATGAATTTATTCAGAAGCTTAAAATGATTGGTGTGCACAGTCGACGGAAGCCTTCTGCGATTAAGCCGCTTCCCATTGTCAGTGATGAACATGGATGCCCGCTGAATGATTATCAGGAGGTCGCTGAACGTTGGAGACAGCATTTCGGTGAGCAAGAGGCTGGGGAAGTGGTGCAACTGAGTGAACTTTTTGCTCGAGATGTGATACCACCATCTGAAAGGCTGCAACCGACTTGGGAGGACCTTCCGACTCTTCCACAGATTGAGCATTTCTTTCGCATGACGAAGAAGGGCAAAGCCTTTTTCATTGATTCCATCCCGGGTGACCTACTTAGTGGGGCGGCATCCGAGCTGGCGAGGGCCTTCTATCCACTCTACCTCAAGCAAGTATTGCAGCTTCGTGAAGCCATACTGTATAAAGGGGGAAGATTGGTCCCATCATATAAAAAGGGCCCACCTGGTGATTGCTCGAGCTATCGGTCGCTTTTCGTAAGTAGCCCAATAGGCAAAGCTCTCCATGCGGCATATAGGCCAGAGCTGGTTAAAGCCTTTAGGAACCGATTACCGTTGCAGATCGGGGGTATGCCGGGATTTGCGACGGTGCAAGCGACCATGTGCATTTCACTCTACCATCGCTTCTGGCTGGAACAACGTCACAGTGTGGCCCTCCTCTTCGTTGACGTTGCAAGCGCTTTCTACCGCTTGGTGAGGGAACACTTCATCCAATATGGCGAACATGCATCCACCTTACAGATCATCTTTCGAAGACTTGGGCTGCCAGATTCGGCATGGTTAGAATTTCAGCAACAGATGCACCTCACGCCTGCGATAGAGCAGACAGAAGCCTCACCTTTCTTGAGGGCGTTGTTCAAAGAATTCTACTGTCGAACGTGGTTTGTGGTCAATGAATGCCCCAGGGTTACTCAGACCCATAGGGGATCCAGACCGGGTGATTCGTTGGCTGATCTCTGTTTTGCTTTTGCTTTGAGCAAGATTTTACAGGGGTTTGAAGCTGAAGTACTGCGGAGATGCCCAGATCTCGCCACTAAATGGGATCAATATAGGTCGCCGTTTCCATCTCCGGACAGAAAGTTTGAGCTTAGCCTTGTGATGCCGGTGTGGGCAGATGACCTGGCCCTCGCTATGCATGCTCCAGCTCCAGAGGAACTCAATGAGGTCATTGGGACAGTCACTGGTATTTTGTTTGACAGGCTGGCAAGTTCGGGACTGCAGCCGAACTTAAAAGCTGGTAAAACAGAGATCCTTGTCGACTACAAAGGAAGTGGAACATTGCAAGCCAGACGAGATCTCCTCTATGCGGGCAATGTCTTGCCAACTACTTCTGTCCATGTGCCCCAACCAGTGAGAGCCGTTCCTGCTTACAAACATCTCGGGACTTGGATCAGAATTGGCTCCAAGGCCATGCTTGACCTACGAGTGCGCTTTGGCTGTGCACACACCACTGTCACACATTTTAAAAGCCAAATTTTCGGGAACAGGGGTCTGGACCTCTCGACCAAAGTCAATTTTCTGCGAAGTCTAGTTTTCAGTGCTATGCATTTCAATGCGGCTGGATGGGTCCTGCATTCCCGTAGGGAAAAGGACTGCTTGCAGAAAGGGCATTTTAAGCTGCTGAAAAGAGTAGCAATGCTGCATTTTGGTCAGACTGCCCTGAAATGGGAAGCTGGAAGGGTCTACAGTGAGCTTGGGGTTCAAACGGCTGATGAGTTCCTGCGAGAAGCTCGACTGAGATTCTGCATTCAGCTTGTGCACCATGGAACACCGCACTTATGGGCACTCCTCCAACTTGAACAGCACTGGGTTGCCCTTCTGCAAGGTGATATTGAGTGGCTTCGGGAAATTGTGCCTGAGATAGAACTACCTCCTTTGACGGAAGCTTCTTGGGATGTCATCTCTGCTTATATTGCTGAGTCCAAGGGGAGGTGGAAAGCAGTTGTCCGAAAAGCTGTATATAGACACATTTCGGATTCCAAACGGAGCTATCAATGGGACCGATGGCACAAAGATATATATCGGGAATTCCTTGAGCAGGGGGTGCATTTCGCTGACAAGAAGGCAAATGACCTGGGATTTTTCTGCGCTAAATGCAAACTCCGATTTGCTACACAGGCAGCCCAGACGGTACATGCTTTTAAAAAGCACAACCGAATTTGTGAGGTTCGCCATTTTGTCAGTGGTACACAGTGCGAGGCATGTCTCAGACAATATTCTTCACATGTCAACCTGATCAACCACGCAAAGAGGAAAGAGGCCTGCAGACTCTTTTACTTAAGTCGTGGACATCGAGTTGAGATTCAGGCTGGAGTCAACAGTAGGGGGGCAGCTGGCAAGCTGACGGAGTGGAGCAACCCTTACATCCAAGCACAAGGGCCCAGGAATTGTGAAGAACACTCTACTGTCTCGTTGATCCACCCACAACAAGCACACTTTGATGACCTTTCAGCTTCATGGACTAGGGGTGTGCAAGAGGCAATTGATGCACACACTGATGCCCTTGAAGGACTTCGAGTTGCCACTGGACGAACTGTGCTCCTCCCGAAGGAAGTTATTGAGCACTTCGAGCAGTGGCTGAACGATTGGAACAGCAACAGGGAGGATATTAGCCTGGAGACTCTGCAGCGAATCTCTAGCTTTCGATACCATTTCTGCGCTGAATGGATCATTGATGCGGAGTTAGGAGCTGCGGCACAGAGCGAATGTGCAGTGGACCTCTTCCATCGAGAAGCAGACAGCCTGTTGCCATTACATGGTCCAGCAAGGCAGTTGCCCACTTTCGATGTTCATGTGGTCGCACACCTGTTCTCAGGACATCGGAGGCCTGAAGACTTGCAAAGTGTCTTAGAGGCGAAGGGCTTCAAGACCATCTCAATCGACATTATTTTCGACCAAGTCAAGGGTAATCTGCTGCGAAGAGACACGTTCCTGCTTTTCAAGCGGGCCCTGTATGCTGGATGGCTGAAAGGGTTCGTAGCTGGACCACCATGCGAAACATGGTCCAAAGTCCGAGCAAATGCAGTTGAAGGGGGGCGCTACCCAAGAGTGGTTCGTACTGCCAAACGCCCTTTTGGGCGAAAGGACTTGACACGCCGAGAACACAGCCAAGTCGATCTGGGGAGCGGCCTCTTGGGAGTTGCGCTCCATCTGGTTGCAATCTCCATCTGCTGTGGAGCAGTGGCCATCCTAGAGCACCCTGAGCAGGATGAACACAACAGCCATGCAGCTTCGATATGGAGACTTCCTGTTGTTCGCATGATGCACCGCTTTGCCAACTGCACGAGTGTCCGGCTTTTACAGGGCCATTATGGAGGAAAGACTCCGAAGCCCACGAGGCTCCTATTTGCCAACGCGACTGATGAACTAGAGGCCCTCATCGTGCGAGGCCGTTGTACAGCACTGCCGAAGCGCACTGCTGTAGGTCGAAAGTGCGACGGGTCATGGGCGACTACAGAACTCAAGGAGTATCCTGGAGGGCTGTGTCGCATGCTGGCAGAGATTCTGGAACGATCACTGCCACGAACCGGTTCGACTGTGATCCCTAAGGAATTTGATGATTTCGTGACTTGTCTTGTTGCGGATTTCGATTTCCTTGCTTCTCAGGGAAGGGATTACAATCCTGCTACCGGTCTGAACATTTAATTTGATGCAAGACGCTGCCACGGAGTTCGACCTCTTAGGCTTACGCAAAGGCAAAAAAAAGGGTTATTGGATGGGGAAGGCATGTCTCTGGTTCATGATAGACGTCTTGTGGAGCGACTGGTTGGTGTTTGATTGAGTCAAGCCAAACACGGAGCTTTGCATTGGGGCGCGGGAAAGCTCTCTGGACGCTCTGGCAATCTCTGAGGGAATTGGTTTCGATTAGGGGTTCTCCCACCGGAGTCCAAGTGGTTGATAGAAGCAGTGCAAGAAGTGCTTAACTTAGGACACTTCCTCTATATACTTCTGCCAGCAGTCACAAAGGGGTGGTTGTTAGATGCTGTTAGTCCTATAAGTGAGTGGATGATGGCAACCCTAACCTCCATGGATCGCACCCCGTCTTGTGACTCCTGGTTTGCCTGGTTTGCTTCTCTTTCGAAGTGGCGAATGGATCTTTTCAGCTAACTTGGGGCTCCCACTTCAACACAAGCAGTTGCAGATTGAGCTGACGGATCTCTTCCACTTGAAACAGCTCCCACATCAGATCATCAGTTCGCGCACGTCCGGTTCCCATGCCGCTGACTGCCCATGCCGCGTCCCTTCGATTCAAGGCACGATAGAGTGTGACCATGAGCTTGCCAAAGATCTCTTGACCTGAAGGGTACCGAATTGAAAGCAGACCATTCTTTTGAGCATACCACCTACCGCTCGTTGGGGAGTTTGTGCCATCTACTCTGAAACCACTATAGCCCTACAAGTCCATACAAGTCCAGTCGGGCCAAGTTAAACCTGGTACTTGACCTCATTGAGTATTGGTTTCACATGACCGGACCCAGTCAAATGAGGTCCTTGACCTGTAGGGATAGTCTCAAAAAAGGAACACTCGGACACTCTCGCCAGGGTCTCCAGGATGCCGTGTGCCAGGTCAACCCGCTTCCAGCTCCCAAAGCCCTTGCGACTGGAAGGCATCGTGCCAGTTCGAAGTGGTGTCCATCAAAGAAGGCCACCGGCTCAGCGTGCTCGCGCACCTGGGAGCAGGCCCCACAGGGTTGTGTTCAAGTACCAGCTGGGTTGATTTGAACCACCAGAATCTGTTGGAAGTACAGCCACCATAGTCCCTCATAACTCATAACTAACGACCACTATAATGTAGTCCTCAGATTTATAAACCCCCCTAGAATTATGTCTTTTTTTTTCCCCATGCACTGATTTATAAAGGCCCCTAGAATAATGTCTTCTTTTTTTTGGAGGGGTAGTTGTAGTGGATTTTTTTTATTGTTATAGTTTACTTTTTCCCTTTTGAATTTGCTGGGATTTGCTTATCTTACAGGGTTTTGGATTGAGATTTCTATTAAACATTTGGAGATTTCCATTGAGATTTGATGCTTTTGGAGGCTTTTGGATGGAGATTTCTATTAAAAAATTGGAGATTTCCATTGAGATTTGATGCTTTTGGAGGCTTTTGGATGGAGATTTCTATTGAAATTTTGGAGATTTCCATTGAGATTTGATGCTTTTGGAGGCTTTTGGATGGAGATTTCTATTAAACAATTTGATATGTCCATTGAGATTTGATGCTTTTGGAGGCTTTAGGATGGAGATTTCTATTGAAAATTTGGAGATTTCCTTTTCTTTGCCTTTTGATTTGCTTTACTTTTCCTAAGCTCTTTAGTTGTGAAGCTTTCCAAAAGTTTCCAAAAGTCAGTGCGCACTTTCTTTATAAAATCCCTTATTCAAAAGTATTGAAAAACAAAAAAATCAATCAAGCAAAGGGGGTAGTCCAGCAAGCAGCTTTCTGACATTATTTAGGGGGGGG